TTGTGATGTGAAAAATATGATCATGGTAAATCATTTAAATATTGTAACACATAAAATGTTCTGCACAGTTCCAGTGGACAATAAACAAATGTGTTAAAAGGAAAAGTATGAAAGGTGCAATAACCCAGTTGCAGAAGTTGTTTGTTCCATCTTTTTCTTTGCACCGTTAAATCCTTTGTCCCCTCTGCAAATTATGGCTTAAGCTAAAGATGGAGAATGTTTGAAGTGATTTATCATCATCTCACTCTACATCACAAAACCCTGCTGATGTAACAGGTTTGTAGACTGTTAAGAGCCACTGTGATGAACCAGCTGTAAGATTTGAAATTGAAACAAATTAACAGGAAAAATTCATAAGACGCACAACATACACTCCAAATTTAAATCATCACCTTGTCTCTTATTAATCTTGCTTTCCCTCCCAAGTGACATACAATTAAGACATTTTAGTATTGCTAAGCAGAGGATCTACTGAAGGTGAATTTGGGAAGTACTAACTGCATATTTAGTCTCACTACAAGTTGTAGTACTGAAAAATATAATGGTGCATCTAAGGTATGTAACTTTCATGAAAAATGTCATATATTTGTTGAAATTGTCATGACATGGTGACGGTATGTATGAGACGGACAATCTGAAAATATCAAGCTCCTCTGCCTTCTCCAGTGTTTCCAAAACCACTCTGTCAGAAACAAGCAATCAGAGCCTGGAGGAGGGTCTCTGTGCTGTCAATCACACATGTGCATGCAATACTCTCTGCTACATCTTCTACTCAAGAGCACAGCCTGCCAAGGCTTGTTAGCATGGCCACCAATGACAGCAGATAAACAGTTTTTCTTTAATGCTAAGTTGTTTCTCCACCATTTGCACATTGAGTTGCGCATACACAAGCATGGTTGACAGTGCTAAGAGACTCCTCTTTCTGTTTTTTAATGAAAGCAGTGCATTTCTTCATATGCAAATAGTACAGGAAGGAGGTGGGGGGATCAGTTCTTTCACAGATTATCTGTCTCGTACTGTCAAGACATGTACAACTTTTCTTTTTTCCATTTTAACAAGCAAAATGTTTTTTTTTTTTTTAAATGAAAGTTACATACTGCAGCTTTAAAAGTCTGTTTAACAGAAGAGGAACAATCCATTTGAGCCTTAGTCTTGAACATCTTATTTTTTCCTATTATCACACTTTGGTATTGGAACTTTAACACTACACACTTCAATCTAGTTTTTTTTTCTTGTGATGTATTTTGTTGGACTGCGGTTTCGTGTTAAGGTACCTTTGCTGTTGTGAATATCAGACTTTAATTCAGGAATTGAAAACCTATGAGGCATTTGGAGCATCAAGTACACACATTCCAAAACATACTGTTCATATAATCTAAATATGTCTTTTACTTTCCATTGATTACATATTTGGATTATAATAACAATATAGATAATGTGGGGATAAATGATTGGTACATTGTTTTCTAAGCTACAGAGAAACTGGCTTTACCTGAAATAAATTCTGCCTTCTCAACATTATAAAGGGTGCCTTGAACTTAATTTTTGAATATATTAAAGTATTGGTTCTTAAATGTTTCATTTTCACATGTTCTCTCAAAACCAGTTTTTATTGAATGTAATGCATTTGTCTTTTTCAGAATTATTGAACTAACAAGCAGCACACTAAAGTATTGTTGATTCTTCATGTTGACTCAAAGGCACCAAAATGGAAATTAATAAAATAATATGGTTTTATTGCATGATTCTACTCTCAGCACTTTTACTTTTTTTGTCTGAAGATATGGAATTATTTGGAACTATGTTGATGCTTGCAAGACATTGAAGCCTGTCCAGTGAAAATTACTTATATGTCATTGTTTTCAGGGCCAATAATACACAATAAAGTTGGTAATAAAAACTAGTGTTCAGTATTTTCCTGAGCACAAAAGTAATTGGATTAAATTATTGTAATGTATGGTAGCAAACTATTAGTTATACACTGTACCTTGAATTTCTATTGGACTTTTTTTAATCACAAAAAGGCCTGCTTATAGAAAGTGTATTTTTCATCTTCTATAAATATTCCAAAGGTGAATGTAAGTGTTCCTGTGTAAAACTGGAAGGCAAATTTAAAGTAAATCTTTAAATTTGTCTCACAGATAAGCCTATTGTAGCCTTTTCTCCACCTAAATTTCTCCCAACTATTTCAATACTTTTAGGACAGACAACATCCAAGAGTCTATCGATGCTAACCTTTTTTTCTTACGTTTGCTTGTGGTTGTGGAACTTTTTTACAGCACCATCGCACCTTGCAAGTGTGGATCACTATAGGGAGGGCCTCACTATAGGCTGCACTGTGAAGTTACCTGATGGACCTTAGAGAAGTACAATATGTGCTTTATGCTGTTCTGTAATATCTGCATATGAAAGATGTGAATACTTTGTAATTAAAGTCAATCTTTCTTTAGATTTCCTTCTTTTCTGGTTTCTGATTATCTGTTATTGAAATTATACACAAAGTGTAAAAAATATATATTTCAGACCATTTTTTTAAAAAGCAAATTCATAGCTTTTAAAGTTACATACTGCAGAAAAAAAACTTCCTCTCCACAATACCTCAGAGATTTTCCATGTGGTTTGGTCAGGTGAGTTTGCTGGCCAATTAAGAACAGGGATGCCATGGTTGTTAAACAAGGTACTGGTAACGTTGGCACTGTACGTACGTGCCAAATTCTGTTGGAAAACTAAATCTGCATCTTCATAAAGTTGGTCAGCAGCAGGAAGCATGAAGTGTTCTAAAACTTCCTGGTAGATGGCTGAATTGACCTTGGACCTCAGAAAACACATGACCAACACAAGCAGATGACATGGCACCCTAAACCATCAGACTGGAAACTAACTGGCCCTCAAGCAACGTGGATTCGGTGCCTCTCCTCTCTTCCTCCAGACTCAGGAACCTTGATTTTCAAATGAAATGCAAAATTGACTTTAATCAGAGAACATAACTTTGAATCATTCAGCAGTAGTCCAGTCTGTTGTTTAAGAGTGGCTTGACAAAAGGAATGTGACAGCTGAAACCCATGTCTTGTGGTTCTTGAAGGACCGACTCCAGCTGCAGTCCACTCTTTGTGAATCTTCCCCACATTTTCAAATGGGTTTTGTTTCACAATCCTCTCCAGGATGCGGTCATATCCAGATTACTTGTCATGTTATTTTCCCCGACTACATCTTTTCCTTCTCTTCACTTCTCTATGAATGTGCTTGGACACAGAGCTCTGTGAGCAGCCAGCCATGAGCTTTTGTGACTTGCCCTCTTTTGTGCCAGGTGTCAATGGCACAAGGTCTTTTGGACAACTGTCAAATCAGCAGTCATTCCCACAATAACCTAAAAAACTAGACTGAGGCCATTTAAGGGCATTTACGTGTGTTTTGAACTAATTAGGTATGTGGGACCAGGTACCTTCAATAATGCCCCTTTTCAAAATATTCTAATTTTCTAAGGTGCTGTATTAAGAGTTTTCATTTGTTGTCAGTTCTAATCATCATCATTAAAAAAACCATTTGAAATATATCAGTCAGTGTGTAATGAATAAATATTACATGGAAGTTTCACTTCTTGAATGGCATTACTGACATAAATCAACCTTTTTTCTGATATTCTAATTTTATGACCAGGGCCTGTATTTATGCAACCAGGTTATTTTTTTATGTTATGTTTTCCCCTTGAAAGATTCCAGTTTGTTTATCTATTTCTTTGTACTTTTTCCACATTAAAGGTGGAAAAATGTGAAATTATTTGAGTTGCAGTAATTTTTTTACATCATGAAAAGCTGGCATTTGAACAGAGGTGTGTTGACCCTTTGTATTCACTGTATGTTGTAATGCTGACAACAGGAATGCCTCAAAATGGTACAGAACATTAGGTAGTTCATTTATAGCATGAACATGTTGATAAAATGCAAGCCTACTGGAACGTCCCTCCATAAAACTGGTGGTTTATGGAATGTAGGTGTAGGTGAGAAGATCTTCCCAATTCCTTTTCATAGTACAATGATGTTGTAAACCGAACAGAAATTATGCTGAATGTAAGTGAAAAGGTGAATACTTCTGTATATGCTATGGAACTATTTCAATCCAGGAATGAACTTGTATTAAACCAAGAATAAACGTGATAAAATGTAAACACATAAGCCATATTGATTGTGAGATTATTTTAGTTTTAATAAGCAAGTGCCTCTATAAAGAGTTTTATCTGCTGTATTTTTATCTTATGCAGAAGCTTTGTAACATTGATACTAGAAGTCAGAGGACTGAAACAATTTTATTATGGTTCATCATGATTCACACCATTTTGGGATAAGTTGAAAATGATCTTTTACTTATGTCATGATACCAGAGGGAACATGTTGATACATATGTTGTAACTTTAATCACAGCTCAAAACTTGATTTCACATTATATCTCCTTCTTTATACTAACAAGATATACAGGAAGGTGAGTTACCAGTACAAGAATGATGTATGTACTGAAGTCAGTTTGTAGAGATGGTACAGAAAGTGATATAAATGAGCCGACATAGCCTCACATATCAAACTGTGCAAAGAGGAAAATGATAATGACAGTCATTCTCTGCTGTGACATTTGTCAAAGCAGAGAAACAAAGAAGCAGTCAGACCTTTCCTTCTGTTCTGAATGCAGAAATCTGTTCTAGAGTTCCACTAGTTCATTGAAGGATCTTTGTTTATTCAAGTCACAGTAATAAAACTCAGAAAATCTGTAAAGCACAGCACTAAAAACACAATCTCGTGTTATCATCATATAGAGTGTAGAGGTGCAGAGTATTTCTCTACTGCTTGTTGGTGGTAGAGAAATACTCTGATGGCAGCCTACAAGTTTGTCATTTTAGAAGTGAAACAAACATGACAGATACTTCCTGGTCACACATTCTTTATATTACTTGTAAACATCCAAACTCCCCCTCCAAATCGCTGCTCAATTAAAATCCTGTTAAACTGGTGGACACAATGAGTTTTCCTCAGATTTAATCCAAATTCAACATGAATTTAATGATTACTTACTGACAGGCCTTACAGTTAGAATTTTTCATTATTTAAATTAGGTTTGACCTTCCTTCTTCATGCTAGTTTAAAACATTTTTATATTTGAAAGAGATGAGCCACTAAGTTTAGTAAACTATTATCAACAAACTAAAACTTACAAAGAATGGTTATTAGAATGTAAGCAAAAGCAATCAGCTGCTCGTCTCAGTGATTCCATTCATCTGCATCTGATGAAATTGAGCCAAAATCACAACTAAAGGCCTCAACTGCAGTTGGACTAAAAAAATAAGTATTCAATTAATCGTCCTGCACCCAACAGAATCTAACATGAGCACTGGAGCTCAAATTAAATTCCTTTAGAACTTTATTAGAAATATAATGACCACTAGTTGAGAATTGAAATCAAGACATACATTAAGCACTAGGGTTGAAAAAATGAAAACTGCTCAGAAACTCCCTGGATATTTCTGGTTTGATGCATATCACAATTCAGAATTTCACAAATACAAAGCTTATGCCATGTTTAATAAAAACTGATTTACATAAAAAATAAAACACAAACATAAAAACTGATGTGTGCATTTGGTAGCTCTGTAAGCAGAGGTTATATGGCAGTAGGTAAAACTGAATTAACAGTAGCTTTTATTAGTTTTTAATCACAGGAATATATGCTTACATACAAAAAGAAAATGATATTTTCTAACATTTTTCTCTCCCAAAAACAATTTTATTTATTATTGCAAAACTAAAAAAATAGATTGTCATCAGTTATGGGAAGACCAGTGTTCCGGTCTGATTAAGTCCAACTTACCAACATTATTTTGATTTTCTGAAAGTTCTTCAGTTGCAGTTCAAAATTTAAGCTTGCAATGAGTTGCTTGATGCCAATGAAAGTGTGTTTTTTCAATGCAGTTGTTGGATGGGAATAAAAAGCAACCTTTATCTGAGTCAGAATGCATTTTTCCCTCAGGTCTTGCTGCTATGACAAATGTCCAAAAGATATTATTTTAATAAGAAATGAATCAAGTAAATATTGCTCAACTAGATCATGCCTTGTTTGGAGAGCACTACAGATGGTTTTGACCAGGGGCAAGAAAGCAAACCAACTTTGCTCATTGTCATCTTATGAACTTAAATGAACTGAAGATATAAAATAACTGCATGTGTAGGTAAATATAAAGTTCTTTCTAAAACAAACCCAAAAATAAATGATTAAAAACTGACTTTTAATTATGTGTAGTATGCTTTTATGTTAGGTGGAGACAACAGAAGCTGTCATTGCTTTCAGTGAGAGAAACGGTAAATACTGCTCACGATATTATAGGTCTGTGTATGTCCAGTCTGTTCAATTTCCCGTACTTGCGGAAAGATAGTAAAGCAAATCCATATCAAAATATAATGGACTGCATGTATTAACCCAAGAAAAAAACAGCATAAACTGAGACCAGCAAATAAATAGAATTACAATGCCGTCAGTAGTGTATAATGGGACCTGCAGCCCATCCATCTCACACCATGGTTTGTTTCAGACACCTTACAGTCAGAAAGTCCGTTGAGCTGCTGGAGATATGCAGCATGGCTCAATATTTTGCTGAAATGACAAAGTGAGTTTCTAGATCTGCATGGATCTTATCTTATAACTTTCCAGAAGTGTTAAAAATTGCTAAATCTCTGAAAAAAAAACATTTTTGCACACAACTGTGGTTTTATAACAGTTTAATCAGTTAAAAGTAAATTACTGCATGCATTAATGTGCTGAACAGCAATTGAACGTTCTCTGTTTTCTAACATATTACAGTCAGAACAACTGCTTTACATAAAAGTTTGCCAGAATAACAAGTTTTCATCTCATTATCTCAATTTATATCCACACAGCCAACAACATTTGAGGCTAATGTATGTTTAAAAGCAGTGGATTGAGAATCTAACAAGGAATGAAAAGAGAAAAAACATTCTATCAGTATATTCATGCAATGAAAATGCAGCAGCCACAGTTTTGGATGTGTGCCTTTTGTTCCTGCTGACACTGGTTTAAACTGAGCAAGTCTCAGGAATCTTGTCTTAGAGAGTGAAATCATGCAGAAACACAAACAATCCATTATCAAACATTTAATTACTCTGAGCTACTCATAAAATGAGCTGCTCATTTTATGAATAGCTCATCTCAAACTACTGAGCTGCTGAGGGAAAGATGATTTAATAGTAACGCGCCACTCAAGATGCTCTCTGCTTTTGAGCAGAGCAGCAGTAAAGAGGTTGCAGCTGTGCTCCAGCAGCTGGAACTTTCTGACTTCAAGTTTGTCTGTAGCTCTGTGAGGAAACTAAACTTAAACAACAGAGCAGTTTGTAAGATGGAACCCTCCCAAACACACTTTGTGTTGCACGTTAATGGTTGTGTGTCCCTCCAGAGCTTGGAGGTGCTCTGGTTCCTTCATCAGGCCTCTGTCCATGTCCTTTCCTGCCGTGGCCCAGGATGCAGTTAGCACTTCCACAGCCTTCGTCGTCATCATCTCCCTCACTTTCAGAGGACGATTCTCCAAACTGTCTGGGCTTTTCATAAATACAGCAGCCTGGAACACAACATGCAGCTGGATCAGGATGGATATAAAAAACAACAATACCACATTTTACAGCCAAGATGTGTTCATATAAAATACTCAATAAGTGACAAATTTAGAATCACTACAACACAAATAACCCCCACCTTGTCCAAACCCCCCCCCTCAAAAGTTGACAATTATATTTTTTGGGACAACATTCGCTGTGGTATTGTTCTGATAAGTTTCTGCAACATCACAAGATTTATTTCCATCTAGTGTTGCATTCATCTTTCACCATGGTCTTATATTGGTGATGGAAGAATCTGACCACAATATAAAGCCTTCTCCAGCACATCCCAGAGATTCTCACTGAGTTGAGGTGTGAACTCTGATGTGTCCTGCTCCTTGAACCACTGCCTTCCTGGAACATGCTCATGACATCAGGGAAAAGAAAAGCCACTGATGGAACAACCTGGGCATTCCTGATCTCCAGGTAGTCAGCCAACCTCACAATGTTGCTGAAGCTGAACCTGACCAAGTGCAGTGACTCCAGAGCCCAGTGCTGCCTTCACAGGCTGCTACAGTAGACACTAGGAATGATGGATCATCACTTCATCTGCCTCTCTTCTTACCCTGATGTACCAATGATTCTAGAAGAGGGTCAATCTGAACTCAGACCACATGATTTTCCTTCAATCTTTATGATTCCTTGCAAATTGAAGCCTTTTTCTCCACTATCGTCATCGATTAGTGGTTTTCTTATGGCTACACATGTTCAGATGATATCCTGGTTCTCCACACCTCTCTCCTCACACGTTAAACACATCAGTCAGAAGGCCAGCAGCTTCTACAACCTTCATGTTGGCATTGCCCACAATCTGTATGTGTTCATACTAACATGCTAACATCTTCCTCTGACTAATCACTGAAATGACACACTAGTGCACCCAGTAAAAGCTCCAGTTCTCATCATGGTAAGTCCTTAACTTTAAATAAACTTTTTAAACCATAGCGATTTTGGATTTTTTATTTCTTACTGAGACATGGTAAAAAGATGGAAATTATTGTCATTTTAATGAAATATGTTCTTTAAATTCCTGTTTTTGCCACATTATTACTGCCAGGTTGTGGTGGAGATCCCGTTCTGGGGCCTCATGCATAAAAGACTGCACAGTTTTCATACTAAAACTTGGCGTACCCTATTTGCGGGAAATAGAGCGCAGCTGCTGATCCGCCCTGTCGCCACCC